ATGTATATATAGAGAGAATGACATCATTTTTTCAAAATAGTATTACTTTCTTGGAGAAGGAAGGGGCTTCTTTACTTCCATTTTTCAAATACATGTGAGTATCAACTGTTCTCACAATATAAACTAATGAAACAGACTTAACTTGTTAAAATGAAGGCATGTCGGAGTGGGCAGTGAGCAGGCAAAAGGCAAAAGGTGGCCAAGTAAAAAGATTGGAAAGGATAACATGTAAAAAGAGGAGAAAAGAAAAGGAGGAGAAGGAAAAAGATGATGAAAATAAAGATAAGAAAAAGGAACAAGCTAAGGAGCAGATAGAGTCTACAACACAATTACAGGCAGTTCTGCTCATACATTAGTCTCCATAAATCTGCACCAAAAAGATTCTCTTAGACAAAATAGACTTGCTTAGGAATTTATGAAAATTGTTGGAGAGTTAACTTTTTTTGAGACAGGGTTTTATTGTGCAGCTCTAGCTGGCCTGAATGGTGCTGTGTAGACTAGGCTGTCCCTGAACTCACAGAGGTACACTTGCCCCTGCCTCTTTTTTTTTTTTTTTTTTTTGGGTTTCCGAGACAAGGTTTCTCTGTGTAGCTTTGAGCCTTTCCTGGAACTCACTTGGTAGCCCAGGCTGGCCTCGAACTCATAGAGATCTGCCTGGCTCTGCCTCCCGAGTGCTGGGATTAAAGGCATGCGCCACCACCGCCCGGCGCCCCTGCCTCTTAAATACAAAGATTAAAAGGTTGCACCACCCATCAGAAGCAACAACACAGTTAAATCAAATCTGCAGACCACTATTGGATATTAGGTTTGTGCAACATTAGGTACTTTGAAAGTTAAATGGAACTGATCAATTCAATATTCATCTTCCAATCTCAGCTGTCAAATGCAATGCAAAGATAACTAAGTTAATTAAACAGAATAATGTTTCAGGAGATACAAATTTAAAAGCTATAGATAATATATACATATATGTGCTTATCAATAAACTCCAGCAACAGGGGAGTCTGATATGAGGGTAATACAATAGTCAAATATGACATGAAAATCAAAGAAAAATGATGAAAGATGAAAGAACACATCCAGGCCCTGTTATCCCATATGCAATAGAGCTTGCCAGCTACCTTACTACATTTTGGTACATTGATTATTTGTTGAAATTGTTTTCTTTGTTGTATTATTTTGTGCTATTATCAACTAGTTTATACATTAAAAATATTCTTAAAAATATCAAAAAAAGGTTGCACCACCACACCTAGCACTGAAGAGATGACTTTAACAAATGATACAAGGAAATGATTAGTGATGTTTCTTCATTGCTTGATGATGTGCATGTTCATTGTTCTTTGTGGTGATGGCTTCATTTATTAAAACAATCACAGTACATATATTCAGTTTATTGCATGTCAGTTACTGACAAATGGTGCTTGTCTAACTGGATGTCATTATGTAGAAGAATGCAAATAAATCCATATCTATCAACCCGCATAAAACTCAAATCCAAGTGTATCAAAGACCTCAACATAAAACTACACACACTGAACCTGATAGATGAACAAATAGAGAACAACCTTGAATGTATTGGCAGATGAGACAAATTTTTAAAACAAAACACTGATGGTGCAGGCATTAAGACAATCCGTTAATAAATGAGATCTCATGAAACTGAAAAGTTGGTGTAAGGCAAAGAACACCATCAATTGAACAAAGAAGCAGTCTATGGGATGGGAAAAATATTTTACCAATTGCACATTGTTTAATGGTCTAATATCCAAAATATATAAAACTCAATAAACTAAATATTAAAACCCAAATAATACAATTAAAAATGAGCTATAGATCTAAACAGAAAATTCCTGATTGAGGAATCTGAAGTGGCTGATAAACACTTAAAGAAATGTTCAACATCCTTGCTCATCAGGGAAATGCTAATCAGAACTACATTGAGATTCCATCTGGCATCTGTCAGAATGGCTAAGATCAATAACACAAGTGACAGCTCATGCTGGAGAAGGTATGGAACAAGGGGAACACTCCTCCATTGCTGGTGGAAGTGCAAACTTGTACAACCACCATGGAAATCTATATATGACAGCTCCTCGGAAAACTTGAAATTGATCTAGCTCAAGACCTAGCTATATTGTTCTTGGGCATATACCCAAAGCATGCTCCAACCTCATGTACCATCATCCTGAATGAGGTACCCTAGACTCAGAAAGACAAACATGGTATGTATTCACTTAAAAGTGGAGATTACCTGTTAAGTAAATTATAATTAAGCTACGATCCACAGAACCAGAGAGGCTAGGTAAAGAGGAGGGCTAAGCATGCCTCTCCCTGAGAAGGAGAAAAAGATAGATTCTGCAGGTGGACTGGGTATTGGTGAGGACAGGAGAGGAAGGAATCAGGAAGATGGAGAAAGATGGAGGGAGAGAGTGTGGGAAGAGACAGCTGATATTGGGGATCATTGGGGGGTATGGAAACCTAGTGCAGTGGAAACTTCCTGGAATCAATGAGGAGGACCCCAGAAAAGACTCCTAGTAATTAGGGATTCAGAGTCTCAACTAGCCATGTCTTACAGTCAGTCAAGGCTTCCAGTGGAAGGACTGGGTTGCATTCAATTAAGTTGTTGGCCAATGGGTTCCCATGAGAATCCTCAAATATCCCAGGATGATGCTAGGACAGAAGCTTGCTCTCTGAAAAGTAGTAGTAGAACCCTATTGCTGAGGACAACTTCCACACAGACAGTTGAACTTAAAGAGGTTGAGCTGGTATTGGCTTGGAGCCTTCACCTCTACATTCTAGTCTCTTTACCATCTCTGCAGGATATAGAAATAAAAACCTGGACACCAACCCAGCCACAACCACCTGCACCACTTACAACCTGCCCTATCTAAAAGATTTTCTGAGGCAATGGCAGTGCAGAACTTGTGGGAGTTGCCAACCAATGACTGGTCTAATTTGGGGCCCATACCACAAGAAATATTCCATGTTTGACACTGCCTGGATGGCCAGGAACTGGAGGCTAGATAGTCCAGAGATCTATAGTAAAAGGAAACACAACTGGCAAAAAAAATTAAATCAACAAAATGATTCTAAGGATGTTCAATTATACTCATAGATCACTGCCTTCTCAGTCATCGCTAGAGGAAGGCTTCCTCTGGAAGCAGAAGGGAGTAGGTGCAAAGACCCACAACCAGACATTATGCAGAGAGAGAGTCTTAACTGTCTAAATTGGAGGTCTCCAATGGGTCTCTCCCCTCAGATTTTGGGGAACTCTGCATGAGAGAGGGAGGAAAGACTGAATGAGTCAGAGAGGGTGGAGGACACCAGGAAAACACAGCCTGCCAAATCAACTAAGCAAGGCTAACAGAGACTGAAATGGCAAGCAATAGGCCTGTATGGGTCTGTACCAGGTCCTCTAAGTATATGGGATGGTTGTCATGTTGGTGTTTTTATGGAACTTTTTAACAGTGGAAGTGGGTGTGTCTCTGACTCTTCTGCCTGCTCTTAGGACTCTTTTCCTCCTATTGAGTTGCCTTGTCCAGCCTCAATATGAGTGCTTTCACATTATTTTATTGTGTCTTGTTTGGTTGCTCTTGAAGACTTGTTCTTTTCTGAAGGGAGAAGGACAGGGAGTGAATCTAGAGAGAAGGAAAGTAGAAGGGAGCTGGGACAGATGGAGGAGGGGAATTTGGTCAGGATATAATGTGAGATAAAATCATTTATTAGAATCAAAAATATTTTTTAAAAAAATCTCCTGTTACCTATGTTGTTAGATGTTACATGAACCCTTGACTCAGTGTGCGTTAAATAATGTGGATCAAATCTACATAACTATAGACACCAAGTGGTGTGCTTTATAAAGAAGAAAAGGTATCCCAGGAGAAGTTATATTTATTTCTGTAGTTTTGTGAATTATTTTATTAAGAGCCCCTACATTTTGAGTTAACTAGCCTTACTATCCTCAAGACCACACTGGGAACAGCTCCCTTTGGAGGAACTCAATATTCCAAACATATTTCTTCTCCCTTTTGATAATGGGCCCCATAGAGGGGTCAGTACAATCACTAGAAAGCAAGACTTGACAAGGAAGAACAATATTAAACAAACCCTGACTTGGATTAACTAGAGATGGGGACTATGGAGGGAATGGAAGCTTATCCTCAGTCTTGATGCTGAGACCATCACATTGGATAGAATATTTCAAATATGCCTTAATGTGTGAGAAACTGAATGATTGTGATGAAAGAGAGTGATAAAAGCAATCAAAGAGAGCCCTCTGAAAATCTTGTCATGTAGTGTCCATCATTTCTTGAGCAGAAGATAGAGAAAAGGAGAAAGTTAAAGGAAACTGAAATAATGCAGGGACCAGTATTGAAGTTTATTGAAAAAGAAAAAAGTTGAAGCTCATGAATGAGGCTCACAACAGCAGAAATGATCAGGAAGTAGTGTGAACATTCAAAGTCATACATTACCTGGTTCCTTTCTGGTTTTTTATATGTTTTTGTTTCTGAGACAGTTTTACTATGTGTTCTACCTTAGCATTGGACCCATTATCCTCCTGTTTCAGCTTCCTGAGTGCTGTGGGTTACAAGAATGTGCCATTGTGCCTAGCATGACAACTATTCTGAAAAAAGCCAGTCTTACAAGAGTAAAGATGAGCTGGGTGGTGGTAGCACCTTTAATCCTAGCACTTGGGAGGCAGAGATAGGCAGATCTCTGAGTTTGAGGTCAGCCTGATCTACAACATGATTTTGAGGATAGCCTAGGGCTATACAGAGAAACCCTGTCTCAAAAACAAAAATGAAAGAAAGAAAGAAAGAAAGAAAGAAAGAAAGAAAGAAAGAAAGAAAGAAAGAAAGAAAGAAAGAAAGGAAGGAAGAAAGAAAGGAAGGAAGAAAGAAAGAAGAGAATAAAAATGAACATTATGTTCTGGTTATCGTTTTAGGGGAAATTTCATGCTACAATTAAAAGTTGTGGCTAGAGGCCTCAGCGGCAGCAGCAAGATGACAAAAGGAACGTCATCCTTTGGAAAGCGTCACAACAAGACGCCCACACTTTGCTGCCTCTGCAGCTCTAAGGCCTACCACCTTCAGAAGTCGACCTGTGGCAAGTGTGGCTACCCAGCCAAGCGCAAGAGAAAGTGTAACTGGAGTGCCAAGGCTAAGAGACGAAACACCACTGGGACTGGGCGGATGAGGCACCTGAAAATTGCCTATCGAAGATTCAGACATGGATTCCGTGAAGGAACAACACCTAAACCCAAAAGGGCAGCTGTTGCAGCATCCAGTTCATCTTGAGGAATTTCAGTCAGTCATAAAATAAATGTTCTGGTTTCAAAAAAAAAAAAAAAAGGTGTGGCTAGAAAATCTGATTCTTCCCTACATTCTTACATCCTTTCTATCTACTGTCAAAATTTCTCCATCAATTATGATTTATATATGGTTTGCTACCATGAAACATACGTTGACATTCCATCCCAATTGTGAAATATTAAGAAGTTGGAAATTTTGCTACATTTTTCAGAGCTGAGCATTTGAGGAATGAGTAAGATTAGATAAATTCATTAGGGTGAGGTTTCTAAGGGTTGGATCTTTAGAAGAGGAGGAAGAGAGACCAGAGGAGACAGATGACAGACATCTGATGCATACACAGTCTCTCCATCTCCCTCTCCCTGAATTACTCTCCCCCCTCCTCTCATGTCTCAATATGTTATATCACTCAGGACTTGAGCAGCAAAGGAGCAAAGAGCAGATTCAGGCACTTAAACCTGGATCTTCAGAATCATAAGCAAAATAAATCTGCTTCAAAGCATGCCTTGTCTGTGGTATTATATAGTTATGGAATAATACTATCCCACTTACTCTCATAATTTCAGTCCGTCTCCTCCTCATCACTTCCATCCAGAGGCTATAGTCATCACTTCTTCTGATCTAGACTTTGAGAGTCACCGTGGAGAAAATGGGTCGACACATAACAAGACTTGCAAAGGTTTCCATCAAGACTACCCCAGCAGAATGTCTGCTTGCCTGATAAAATATGCTCAAAATGATCAGGCCATTTATTCTAGGACCTCATTGAGAAACTTGAAAAAAATGAAGAAAAAAACCCTAAACCTATTTAAATATTGGGTTTTTTAATTATGTGATAAATGTAAATTTTTATTAAGAAAATATTTTCATACCAATCAAAGATTCCCTCCTTCCCTCCTCCTGCCCCTCCAGCCTCCTTGTCCCAACTCATCCCCCATTCCCTCCTACAAGAAGGTAAGGCCTCCCATAGGGAGGTACATTTAATAGAGGCAGGTTCAAGCCCCTCCCCCTGCCTCAAGGCTGTGCAAGGTGTCCCATCATAGATAGTGGCCTCCATACCTATGATGGGTATTTTTAATTAAAGAAGACAATGTATATAATTCAAGTGTGGCTCTGTAAACCAGCAAAGGAGGCAAAGGTAGTAAAATCACAAAGCTCTGAGAACACAGAACTCATCCTGCTTGAGGACCAAATTGCACATGAGGAAGAAATGGTCACCAGAATTACTGGGCATTGATTTTTTTCACTTAATTATTCATCCCAATCTCCACAAAATAATATGAAGAGAACTATATGTATGTTGAAGCAGAAGAGGAGGAAATATATTCATGAACTCACTCACATTGCAACTTTTGAGGCTCCCAGGGACAACAGCAAAATCAGATATCACTGTCATCTTTGAGATACTAAAGAGGAAAGGTCAAGCATTCCACAAGGAACAAATGAAAGCCATTTCTTTTCAATAAACAGTTGATCCTGTGGGTGCAAGGGTTTAAAATGGAGAATGCCATACCAGTCACCAGATACACACATCACGAGGTGGAGTTTGCCTGGCTTCTAGCGATGTCCACCACTATTCATGTAAAAAATCCACATACCTATGATGCATCCCATTTAGTTGCAAGTAACTATGTTCAAAGCAAACAAACAAACAAAAAACCTCACATTCTTTATTTTAAATGTGTAATGGTCTCTTCACATGTGTTTACAGCCTAAAGACAGAAATGTGTTAAATGTATAGCCTGAAGAATAATCAATATCTAAGTCATCAATATATATTTGAAAAAATGTACCTCAAGTCTGAATGAATTTAAATTTTAACTATTTTATAGTTTTATTGTAGTGTTTTAAATGATAGCTGCTTTAAATATCAAATTATTTAGAAGTAAATATATGGCACACAAACTTCAAAAAATATATCTTGTAGTTTTACTTCATTAAAATGTTAAGGTTTTTCACTGAGCTTTTTCTTTGTGTGTATGTATGGTGTATGTGTCTGCATGTGTATGTGTTGTATATGGGTGCATATTTACATGCTCATGTGTATAAGTGCAAAGACAACCTTGGAAGGGTGTCACTCCTTGCCTTCCATTTGTTTGGTGCATGGTCTCTTGTCTGCTAATATGCACACCAAGCTAGCTATCAAGGAACTTCTGGGGATTCTATCTTTGTCTCCCTTAGGAGCACTGGGATCACAGATGCAAGCTACCACATCCAGCACAATGTATGTTCTTAGAATCCAAACCAAAGTCCTCCATTTGGGTGACAAGTCCTTTACTTAATAAGCCATCTCTTTTTTTTTTTTTTTTTTTTTTTTTTTGGTTTTTCGAGACAGGGTTTCTCTGTGTAGCTTTGTGCCTTTCCTGGAACTCGCTTTGGAGACCAGGCTGGCCTCGAACTCACAGAGATCCGCCTGGCTCTGCCTCCCGAGTGCTGGGATTAAAGGCGTGCGCCACCACCGCCCAGCAATAAGCCATCTCTTTAACCATATACTTTTTATAACATTTTAAAAAGTTAACAGTCGATAAAGTCATTTTAGGGAAGTCGAGTACTATAGAAAGAAACTTCAATGACATCAAGAAAAGATCCATGTTGAATAGGAGAATGTCCTCAAAGGAATACTCAGCAATTCAGGGTAACCTGTACATGTAATAAGGTATACAATAATAATAATTGTTCAACTTACAATGTGTTCTATTTTATTGCATATTCAAGCAATTATTTAAGAGCACTTTTATCTTTCCTGAAGCTTCTGATTCATTCTTTTCAATTGTCAGCAGAATCCTATGCCTTCACATTATTCTTAAAAACATCCAGAGTTTTTAAGTCATGTGATTTTGGTATAATGTGTCTTTTAAAAAAATATTCTTTTCATATCACTGACTTCCATTCCAATTTGGACTCACTGTTTGTAGACTAAATGCATAGTTGCCAAAATACAATATTTCTTCTTTGCATTTTTGAGATAGGCCAATTGTTTCTCCCACATTTTTTCATTCAGCTTTTTATCTCTAAAATCACACTTCTAGAAGCACTAGAAATCAAAGGTCTGTGTAGCATTAGCATTCTAAGCCATCACCTGCTGTAAATATCTGTTTTGCCACCTGACTAGGAGTTTGGCTTTATTCCTTTGCCATATGCTTAGCAAAGAGGAAAAACATGTGAGTTCTGAAAATCACTCATCTGCTGCAAGTTGTGTGTTATCTTGAAATCACTTGGAAGAATCTATATCCAAAAGGAAATGGTAAGCTCGACCTCAGGAAGACAGCATCATCCCCATGTCTAACACCTGTGACTGTGCTAACTTATATTATATAGAAGATATATTTCAGATTTGATTAACATTACAGATTCTCAAATAAGAAAAGTACCCTAAATTATTAAAGTAAGTAGAACGTCATGATTTGAGCCCTAAAACAGGGGAATTTCTGTCACTGGAGTGAGAAGAGACAGATGTAGAAGGAGAAGACAGTGTGAGAAACATCAAATGTACTTTTGCTGGCTTGAAATGGAGAGAACAGGATGACAAATGTAGATGGCCTTGGAGGAGGGACTTGGTCAACAGTCAGCAGCGAAATGGAACTTCAATGTTACAAACGCAAGAAACAAAGTTCTGTGAACAACCAAACAGGCTTGAAAGTTAATTCTTTTCCAAAAATCTTCAAGTAAAAGAAGGGGCTATCCCCTCCACCCCTTGCTACCTGCGGCAGGAGATAGCTGGCCTCAGGGTCTTGAGAGTGAGCGAACTAACCATGCCCCACACCAGCTTCAGCCCACAAGAGAGCAGGGAAGCCATGCACCCCACCTGGACAGCACACTAGCGTTGACCCTGTTGTCCGGGCACAGGTGAGCCGGTCCTGAGGAGATGAAAGCAGGAGAGTTGACCTTGCCTTCCTCCCCCTCATATGTCCCCTGCAGCCGTCGAGAGAGAGGGTCCTGGGCCTTGCCTGGGGAAAACAGTAGAACTGGACCTGGTGGTATGAATGCTAGCGGGCTGGATTTGGGGACCCGAGAGCAGGAGAACTGGTCCTCACTCCTTGCCGCAGGCAGTGTTGGGTGAACTAGCTGAGGCAGTGCTGGAGAGCTCACCTGGGTAGTGACCATGAGGGAAAGCTGGTGGGCTGACAAATCCAACTGCCACCCAAGCCCAGAACAAGGGCTATGGCTTGTTCCACCCAAATATCCACCGTATCTGTGAACTGTTGGAGAATGTGAAGGGGATGAACCTACAGATCCAAAACGGTAAGATCCCAGGACAAAGACAACAGGATCTCCAAGAGGAGCCCCAGTGAGAGCCCATTATTGACAGTGTAGCAGAAGCCAGAGGCCTCAAACCAAACCAATGAATGACTCATAGCAATGCACACTTAGAAGTAAAAATGAATGGACTAAAGGCCAAACTGTGTGACTCAAGGGACGACACTTCTACATCGAGGGCCTTCACCTTTGTCTGTCTGGCTGTCTGTTTGGTTGGTTGGTTGGTTTTTGGTTTTTCTTTTAAACTCTGTTTTGCATGGGCAGAGAGCAGAAGCAAGGGGATGGGGAGATAGTAAGATTGGGATGCATGATGTGAAATCCACAGAGAATCTATAAAACTTTAAAAATACGGCAAGATCACATCATGAAGTGGTTTGTGAAATTAAACAATGAAATAAAGAAAGTGGTTAAGTTCCCTGAGAAGTCTGACCTACAACAATGTAGAATGATGCTGTTAATAGCTTTTGTTCCAGTCTTTTTTGTTTTGTTTTTCGAGACAGGGTTTCTCTGTGTAGCTTTGTGCCTTTCCTGGATCTCGATCTGTAGACCAGGCTGGCCTCCAACTCACAAAGATCCACCTGCCTCTGCCTCCCAAGTGCTGGGATTAAAGGCGTGGGCCACCACTGCCTGACTGTTTCAGTCTTATTATTGTGTGTGTGCATATGTATACATGTATGATATGTGTGGACACTTGTGTCACAGAACAATGTGTGGAGCCAGAAGTCAGTTCTTTCCTTACACATTTATATAAGTTCCAAGGGTCAAACACAAGTGATGAGGCTTGG